CATCTTTGGGCTTTGCCTGAGATGCAGGTTGATTATTGGAAGTCTGGGATCTGGATTGAGTGTTAATATCACTACAGAGTGCTGTGTGATGTACACTTTTATGACAATATTGGCAGTTTTGCAATGGAGTGTTACACTCACTTGTATCGTGCTTCCGTAGACAACGGATGCACCTGCTTGGAGATTTCAGTCGATCGATTCGACTGGCACGGCCTTCATAAACTGTGCATTGATAAATGGTATGTGCTTCTTGACAGAATAAACATTTTGGGGCACTTGTAGCTCCTTTTGTCTTATCTGTCTTAGGAGCTTGGTAGACAGTGATGGCCCTAGGGCTGACTGGCCATTAGGTAAAGTTGTCTCAGTCCATCCAGATAGTCAGGGGATTTTGAGAATAGTCAAAATCCTGTCTAAAGGAACAACTTCCCTGAAGACATTGGACAAACTCATCCACATGGAATCAGTGAGCCAGCTGCAGTTAGATCCTGAGAGACCTCAAGACACTCTAACTCCACAAGACCCACAGACTCCTAACAGACACAATCGTCCACAACGGACAGCAGCACAAAAGTGCAAGCAAAATTTGCACTTGTATTATCAATCCAATGGAGAGTAAATAAATACATATGGTTACTATTGTCCTAAGTATTGGACTCTGTGCCAGTTCTCTCCCTCTGGAAGATGTGGGAAATTTTTACCCACCATATCTAATAATCATCTAAGAAATGTATAATTTCTATATCATATCTAAATCATATCAAAATCATATCTAAATCGTATCAAAAATCATATAATGAATCTTTAAAGATTCATTATATGATTTTTGATACGATTTAGATATGATTTTGATATGATTTAGATATGATATAGAAATTATACATTTCTTAGATGATTATTAGATATGGTGGGTAAAAATTTCCCACAGCCTCTTTATATCTCCCCCACTCTTTCTCCTTCACTCTAGTTCCTCTCTTCTTCTCCCTCTTTTGTTCCTCTCACCCATTTTATTCCTTTTCCCCCTCTGTTTCCCTCATTCCCTCTCTCCTTTCGCTCTTGCTCATCCCTGCTTTTCTCTCTCTTGTCATTGCCTTCCCTTTAGCCCCGTCTTTCCTTCCCCTCTAGCTCTCTCCTTCTTTCTTACCTCCCTTGATGAAACTAACCCCCCCCCATACCCATATTTCCTTGCCTTAAAAACCAACTCCTTGTCCTCGTTACCCACGTCACAAATCTCCCCGTCACTTGCCCTTCCTCTCCTTACCTTAGCCACCTTGCTTATCTTATTTCCTATCTTCCCCCCTTCTCCCCTCGCTCCTTCATTCCCCCCCCCTCCCCTCACCCCTCCGTTCAACAGGCCATAACATCCACCCAATAAGACCAGCGAGCAAACAGGACGACAAATATTATCAAGCGTTGGGAACGCTTCGCGAGGGTGTCGGGTCTATCGAAGCCTCAGAACTCAGGCTTCGAAGCGGGAACCTGTTGAGTATAGGGCTGTAGCAAGTCTGGTGGTCCGCGGTCGCTTGGCTCGTAGCCTAGGGGTCTGAGCTCTATTTTGATCTTGGGACTATAGTCTGGGGTCTCTTGGGGTCGTAGTCTAGGAGGGTCTGGGGTCTATAGGTAGGTCTTGGGTCCTTGGTCGGCTGGGGTGTGTCAGGACTAAGGGGAAAACAAGTGTTTACCATTTCCTCCGGGAAATTTAATAACATTGCGTCGTTTCTCCTTATGGCGTCTGATTTTCTACTATTTGATCCCGTTCGTTATTGGCGATGGTGCTTCGTTACTGGTGTTGATGGTTCGTTACCTGTCCTTATTGGCGATGCTGCTTCGTTACCTGTCGTTATTGACGATGCTGTTTCGTTATTTGGCGTTATTAGCGATGCTCTTCATTACTTGTTGTTATTAACGATGTTGTTCGTTACCTGTCGTTACTGACATTGAATGATCGTTACCTATCTTTAGTGATGTTGATGGTTCGTTGCTTGCGTTTGTTGTTTGGTCTGTATAAATGCATATGTCTGTTTTAACTTTGTCCGTGCGTTGTGTCCGCGCGTTAGTGTCCGAGCGTTACCCTGGAAACACAAACCGAAACTGTCTCTATTTTCCTTTACTCTATCAAGTAACAACTTGTAATAAAGTTGTTACATCTTAGCTTAACGTGTTTATGACGTATTAGAACGTTGTTACAACTTGCTATATTGGTTGTTATAACTGGTTAGGTGTTAAAACTTGTTCGAACGTTGTACCAACGTCGTAGTTTCGGTGTGTGTTTGGCGGGTAGTGTGTCCGCGCGTTAGTGTCCGTGCGTTTGTTCGGCCGTGAATAAATTTAGAAGTCTTTAAATTATTTATTAAAACTTGTAGTTTTAAAATTAGCATGACCAAATTTGCATAGAATAGGCATAAACTAGGCTAAATATGCATAAATATATGTGAAACAGACCAGGTTGACCTAGCATATCTCTCTATCTCTGAGTTGATGGAGGAACAGAGAAATACACATTCAACATCCATTGGAAGGATGTCAAAATGTCATTGCTAAGCTAAAATCAAATTATAAAGAATATTTATTTTTTTAATTTTGCCAAGATAAGTGCGTTATGTTTTACGATGTGGTAAAATAATTTTTGGTTTGAATTTTTATTTTCAAAGGGTTGAGCCGATAGGCAGTAGAAGATCCACCACCATGGGGTTTGCTGTGGGACCATGTTATGTTGTACTCATATCAATGGTGCCAACCCTGAATAACCCATGTTGAGCACCTCCCTCGCAGCAATCACCCTGCAAAGTTGGGTGAGGCTATCCCCAAAATGTATGGCTGTGATATAGCACAGGGGCTTAGTCCATTATTTATATTTCTTTCAATACTTACTTATTTCATTCTGTTCGTCCTCCTTTCTGTTCGGGGGGCGCCTGACAGCTGGGTGAACAGCGCTTCGGATTCGTAGTCCTGAGATTCCGGGTTCGATCCCCGGTAAAGGCGAAGACAAATGGGCAAAATGTTTCTTTCACCCTTATGCCCCTGTTACCTAGCAGTAAATAGGTACCTGGGAGTTAGACAGCTGCTACGGGTTGCCTCCTGGAAGTGTGTAAACAAACAGGCCTCGTCGAGGACTGGGCCGCGGGGACGCTAAGCCCCGAAATCATCTCAAGATAACCTCAAGATTATCTTCCCTCCCTATTTCCTAGTGTCCATATTTTATTAATTTATTACATCCGTATATACTTATGTACAACCTTCGTTCCTTCTTTCATACCCTTACTACGCAGTCTTTCATCCTGAACTTCCTACAGTATTGCGTCTACATATTAATCCGACTTTCCGTAATTATGCAGGCGATGAGTCACAATAACGTAGCTAAAGTATGTTGACCAGACCACACACTAGAAGGTGAAGGGACGACGACGTTTCGGTCCGTCCTGGACCATTGTCAAGTCGATTGTGTGACTTGAGAATGGTCCTGGTCGGACCGAAACGTCGTCGTCGTCCCTTCACCTTCTAGTGTGTGGTCTGGGTAAACAAATTTCCGTAATTATTTTACAAATAAAGTAAATGATCTAATTTTATTATATTTAGTCATTCTTTAATCTGTCTTTACTACGGTTACTTTCATTTTTTCTTTTTGCCATAGTCTGTTCTTTCTCTTTTCATTTCTTTTATTCATTCAAGATCGTAATTATTCCTGTTTTTCCTCGACTCCTATTTTGCTCAATTCCGTGTGGGTATTGTGGGTTGTGGTGTTATAGTTATGATTCGGGTGTTGGTTGTTGTGGTATTGTGGATTATGGTGTGAGCTGTCATGGGTATTGTGGGTTGTTGTGAGGTGCGGGGTGGGCATATTGTAGTGCAATACAGACATAATATGTTGTACAGTAGGCCAGATTCACGAAGCAGTTACGCAAGCACTTATGAACGTGTACATCTTTACACACAGAGATCACACTAACGTGATGCATCAAATGAACAAATCCACAAGGGCCGTTTTTACCCTGTCGTAGCTCAGTCGATTAAGGCAGTGTCTGGGATGCTCCCGGACGCAGGTTCGAATCCTCGTCACGGCCCTTGTGGATTTGTTCTCGTGTACATCTTTCCTTAATCTTTGACGGCTTTGGTTACATTTATTAAACAGTTTACAAGCATGAAAACTTTCCAATCAATTGTTGTTATTGTTATAAACAGCCTCCTGGTGCTTCGGAGCTCATTAACTGTTTAAATAATTGTAAAAAAGCCGCCAGATTGAGAAAAGATGTACAGGTTCATAAGTGCTGGCTTAACTGCTTCGTGAATCTGGCCCCAGGTGTGTCGTGGTGTAGGTGTAGTGTGGTGTGATCATTGTGAGTATTGGAGTGGTTCTTGTGGATGTATTCTATGTAATGATTTAGATAAACTGTGACATTGAAATTTTCATATAACCTCTAACGATTATTATTATTATTAGTCTAATAATAATAATTTTATTATAATTATTATTATTATTGTAGTGAAAGTCTCGTCTTCATTAATACATTTTATTATTCACAATAATGATAGATACAATAATCTGTATTTACAACAAGTAACTCTGAGGAAGGATGCAGCGGGAGAAACACCATCAAGGTCTTCAAAATATTGTACAACAATTTAGAACACTGAAGCCAGAAGCGAGGATCGAGACACTGGCTGGAGTGACGTAACTCTCACACGCGTACTTGGTCATATATATACATACATACATATATATATGTATCTGAAAACTCACCCCAGAAGTGACTCGAACCCATACTGCCAGGAGCATAATGCAACTGGTGTGTACAGGACACCTTATCCACTCGACCATCACGACCGGACAAAAGCTGATGGTAGCCGAGGCTATTTGCCCATTAGCCCGCCGGTACTCTGATGGTAATCTTGGGCATAGTATTTTATCAAATCACCTCATGATTTGATGGTCGAGTGGATAAGGTGTCCTGTACACACCAGTTGCATTGTGCTCCTGGCAGTATGGGTTCGAATCACTTCTGGGATGTGAGTTTTCAGTTGCATATAGTCCTGGGGACCATTCAGGCTTGTTCGCATATATATGTATATACATATACATATAAGTGATCGTAAACCTCACTTAAAGCTTCAGAATGCACATGACACATATTACATCTGGCGGGAGCGGGGGGGAGGTGAGGGGAAGTTGAGGGACTTCACATGATGGGTTAAGGTTACGTCGAAAGACATTCTAATTGTGCATTAGTAAAGGTCTCTTATTTACAATGAGCTAGCACAGTCCCTATACAGGTTTAGGTGAGATAAAGTTGAAGCAAAACCCATCATCTTGACGCCTCATTTTCTATGTAAAGGAAACCCGGATACTTTATTAAGATCCAAGTATAACAGATGAATAGTTTCAAGTTAGATTTTCATGGCTGAAGAGAGTGTGATATTCTTCACTAAGGAAATCTTAGTAAAAGTGTAACAATTGCGTTTATTTATCGAGTGTGATATTCTTCACTAAGGAAATCTTAGTAAAAGTGTAACAATTGCGTTTATTTATCTCCTTAAGTGGTCAAGAAAAATGGGTCTTGGTTCAGATACTTTGTACACAGGACTCTTTCATCAATGTTCACGTGAGAAAAGACACATGGCCACAAGGAGATGAGGAATGAAAAATATCTATGAAATGAGGTCAGCGTCGTTGACAGATTTACTCGAGATAAATGTGATGTACATCATCCAGTTTAAGAATAAGTTATGGAGGCTGTGTGTGTATGTGAGAGAGAGATAGTGTAGTGCTGCTCGTAGGTTGAAGCTTAATAGTGGTGTTGGTAGGTAGCAAGGAAAGAGGCTGACAGTAGGAAGCAGCCACACTTTGGGTTGAAGTGTGGATGGTGCTCGTAGTTGGATGCATAATAATGGTATACTTAGGTAGCAGTAAAGAGCTCACTGGAACGTAGCAGCTCATATGCCCCGGCATCGAGCGCTTCTCTTCCCGCTTGTTATCCATATATCAACTTTGGTGTCCACTTCATTTTATCGTCTGAAAGTAACTTACAGTGCACTTGAAAACGTAATAATCAATCCCTTTGGACCACTTAAGAAAAATGATCCTCGTGGAGATTAATTTCAACTTGTTAATTTGCACTGAATCATTTTCGAAGAGAATATTGACATTATTTGTCACACGTTGAGAGTGTATGAAGGTGATGGCTACTGTTGCGTCCCCCGCAGCAGCGAGCGACAGCCGAGGCCAGATGCAAGTGGCGTGTCCTGACAGACAGACCAGAGGTGACGGAAATCGATTCTCCAAAATCAATAGTCGGCATTCTCTAGGGTTCAAAAGTTATGCACGAAACGCCACACGCCGATGGTCCACGCCCCAAATTCATTTTTCTGGTTGATAAATGATTCTTTGGTCGGTGGTCGAGGTTTTCTTTGGCTGGGGATGCACAGTTGAGGGTCTCTCTGGTTGAGGACTGATTGTCGAGGGTTTCATTGGCTGGGAGAGGATAGCTGAGGGTGTCTTTGGTTGATGGTTGACTTTCTCGGGTTTCTTCAGCTGGGGGTAGATTGTTCCGATCGTCTTTGTCTTGGGGTTGATAATAAGGGATGTCTTCGGTTGGGGATTGATTGTCGAAGGCATCTTCCACGGGGAGATTATCGAGGGGGTACCTTCGTCTGGAGATTGATTATTAAGGGCGTTTTCGGCTGAGAGTGAATAGGTGAGGGTGTCTTCGAAACTCCTTGAAAGATGGGTTGAGGAATCAGTGACTCTCTGCTCGACGAAGGAGATATAGTACCTCAAGTGTGTCAATATCTGTTCCGCAGTGTTTGCTATTTTAATAAATAGAAGTTGAGGTAACCTCCTCTTTAGGTGCTACTTGGATGTTGAAGTGAAGACGATGTTCTTGGAGAAAACACCACTAACAGGTCTTACTTCGGCTTCGTATCCTAAAGGATGTTCAAGATTGAAGACTGACAGTGACTGGTGTGTGTGTGTGTGTGTGTGTGTGTGTGTGTGTGTGTGTGTGTGTGTGTGTGTGTGTGTGTGTGTGTGTGTGTGTGTGTGTGTGTGTGTGTGTGTGTGTGTGTGTGTGTGTGTGTCAGAGAAAATGAAAAGTACAAAAAAATCCTTCAGGAGTGAATGAATGAATGCAAGGAAGGAAGGAATGAGCAGTGATTTGTTTACACTGGTGATGACTGGGAACACTTAGAGATCAAGGTAAAATTAAATAACAGGTAATTACACAACAGGGCGTTAGTTAAGGGTACAAATGAGGGGTGCATGAGAAGTGCGTGAGGGGAAAATGAGGGGGGGGGGGGGGGGGGGGGGGAATTAAGTAGCAGATGGGTTATGAGGTGGCAGGGTGAAGAAAGGATGGGAGTGAGGGGAGACTAGCGGCAGGGGGTGATGGAGGGAGAAGGGGTGAAGGAGGTGGTGCGGATGGGGTAGGAAGGGGTGTGAGGGGAACTTAAAGCCCTCCCCTGCGGCCATGGAGGAGAAGGGGAGGGAAGAGAGGGAGAGAGGAGAGGCGAGGGACGTCGCTAGGGACGTCATGAGGGGCAGGGACGACATGGGCGGCACAAGGTAGGGCTTGGTCACCTCCAGCGACGACGGTGTGTGGTGGAGATGGTGGTGATGGTGGTGGTGGAGGTCGGAGGAGGGGGGCGACGCGTCGTTCTTCAGCAGCGGCAGCGGCGAGTTCTGTGGCGGGGTGGTCGACGGGTGAGGGGAGATGCTAGCCGGGTGAGGGGACACAGACGGAGGGTGAGGGGAGACAGACGGAGGGTGCGAGGAGGTGGTGTTGGAGGCTGGGGAGACGACATCTCCCTCACTGGCGATGGTGATGGGGAGTGGACTCTCAGCGGTGGGGGGCGGGGAGTGGGTACCTGGGAGGGGGGAGAGAATAACACAATTAACAACAGGTACTGATAAATATGTGGATAAGAGTGGCAAGCATGTGGCCTGTCACACCTGTAGTCACACTGACACCTGTTGCAAGACTAACATAGCTGTGCCTAGATTGACACACCTGTACCAATACTGACACACCTGTACCAATACTGACACACTGTACCAATACTGACACACCTGTACCAATACTGACACACCTGTACCAATACTGACACACCTGTACCAATACTGACACACCTGTACCAATACTGACACACCTGTACCAATACTGACACACCTGCACCAATACTGACACACCTGTACCAATACTGACACACTGTACCAATACTGACACACTGTACCAATACTGACACACTGTACCAATATTCACACACCTTTACCAATACTGACACACCTGCACCAATACTGACACACCTGTACCAATACTAACAAACCTGCACCAATACTGACACACCTGTACCAATACTGACACACTGTACCAATACTGACACACTGTACCAATATTCACACACCTTTACCAATACTGACACACCTGCACCAATACTGACACACCTGCACCAACACTGACACACCTGCACCAATACCAACACATCTGTAGCCAGTGACAAATTATCTATTCAGGTGGTAACAATTAACATTAATTGATGGAGGGATAAATTAAAAACTAGGTTATTAATTAGAATTTAATTAAGTCCAATTAACGTCATTAAGTTAACATAAGTCCAACGGCACGAGCAGCTGGGATTTGAACAGCAGTTAATTACAGTCAGGGTGGGAGATGGTTAGTCGCACAACGGTACTGTTCAACAGTCAGGGTGGGAGATGGTTAGTCGCACAACGGTACTGTTCAACAGTCAGGGTGGGAGATGGTTAGTCTCGCAACAGTACTGTTCAACAGTCAGGGTGGGAGATGCTTGTCTTCCAACGGTACTGTTCAACAGTCAGGGTGGGAGATGCTTGTCTTCCAACGGTACTGTTCAACAGTCAGGGTGGGAGATGCTTGTCTTCCAACGGTACTTTTCAACAGTCAAGGTGGGAGAAGCTTGTCTCACAACCGTAAAGTCAGGTTGGAAGATGTTTGTCTAAACGGTACCAATCAACAGCCAAACTCACATGCAGACAGAATCAGAAAATATATAAGCATTGTCTCTTTTTTATTTCCCTGTACTGAACCCTTTTACCCCACAGACGGGTCTCGCCTGTCAAGTCAGCTACCCCTACATGTTACACGCACAACACCACCCCACCTACAACACCACCCCACCTACAACAAAACCCATCTATAACACCAATGGTAGGCGTCTTCAGGCCCAAAAAGACGCCTATTCCAACCCTCACACTTTCCCACCTGCATCTCGGGTCACACTCAAGTGAGATCTTTCAATACTTTTAAGTTACTTGTATAATCCTTAACTTTGCACCACCCATAAACAAAAAAAAATGGTCCGAAAAATATATATCGTATGATTGGCAAAAGTTAAAATATAAAAACATAGAAATATTATTGAATATCGTTGAAAGAATCAGAGCTATCCGGCCGTGAGCTGGAGTGAGAGTGAATTATTGCCAATATGATCCAATCTACCTGCAAATTTTGGCAACGATCAACTGATATTTATCTCTGCAACGCGTGAACAACCCAACTTTACTGCATGCTGGCCTGGCTGATAGAGTGACGCGCTGCTAATTTACTGGTCCGAGTTCCCATCCCTGACGATCCACGTGTAAGCAATGTGATGGGATTGAACCTGCGTCTTGAGACACCCCCACAGAGAAGACAAGATGGTGGACCACCTACCTAGAGAGAGGTCCTCGTCGTCGGAGTCGTCGAGGGTGGTCGGGGAGCCGGGGTTGATGAGGTCGTCGTCGTCGTCGTCGTGGTGAGGGTCCCGGGATTCGGACGACCTGGACGACCCGCCTCCAGCTTGTTGTCCATTCATCATCCTACGGAGAGAAGATCATTTGAGGTCTTACACTCGTACACGTGGAGAGAGAGAGAGAGAGAGAGAGAGAGAGAGAGAGAGAGAGAGAGAGAGAGAGAGAGAGAGAGAGAGAGAGAGAGAGAGAGAGAGAGAGAGAGAGAGAAACACAAACAAACAAGCAAACAAATTGCCGGAGTTTGCTTGTTTAAGTGAGCTTTGAACCAAATCTCTCTGGAACGTGAGTGGCTGCTTAGACAAACACACAAATAAGTACAGTAACTGGTTTCTTTCTTGCCCCTCATTCAGCCTCTGCTCCCCTCATGAGGGGGAGGGGGGGAGAGGAGGCAATGGGAGAGGGGAAGTGAAGGTGGGAGGGGGAGAGAAGGGAACGGGAGGGATGGAAAACAATTGGAGGAGAGGGTGAAAATAGGAATGGAAAGGACAATATAAATGGAAGGAGAGATGCTAAAAAGAGGGACGGGGAAAAGGGAAACAAAAAATGGGTGGCAGGGGAAAATGGGAAAGGAAGGGGAAAACCAGGAACTCAGCCACCCAGCGTCGAAATGGTCATTAATTCCCCCGTTACAACACGTTTATCCCTAAACCCTCCCTCTCCCCCTTTCCTCCCCCCCTCTCCCCCTTTCCTCCCCCCCCCCTCTCCCCCTTTCCTCCCCCCCCCTCTCCCCTCCCCATTCCCCATTGTTAACACTAAACTCCAGATAAACGCCACCCAGCACCCAGCGACACTAGGGAGAAAAGCTCCTAACCTCCGCAAGACCTCTTTCCCACCATCCTTATATATATATATATATATATATATATATATATATATATATATATATATATATATATATATATATATATATATATATATACACACACACACATTCCAAGTAAAAAATTCCTCTTAACTGATCTTTTGTTTCTAAAGATTCAGGTTAGCAGAAACGAGTATTTATGGGGAAAAACGGGCGAAGAAGATGGGGAAATTTTCCCTGGGCGTTCGAGCGGGTTCTCCCCCTCCCACTTCCCTCCCCTTCCTCACTCTTTACAGTAAACACGTGTAATAGGATGACGTTTATTCAATGGACCTTGTTACCCCGACCAGCCAGCCAGCCAGCCAGCCGCTCCCCTCCTGCCCCCCCCCCCCCCCCCCCACTCTGATTCCAGCACCGATTTCCGATTGTATATTGTATAGGATCCTCGACCCGATTTTTCGATATAGTGGGTATAGTGACCATATCCGCGAGGTTTAAAGTTTAATCCCCCTTTTCGTTAATTATGTGGCTCCCTGGAGATTGATATGATTTATAAGAATCAGTATTAGTTAAGAGGCTATTATAAAGTATTCAAATCCAATCTACAGATGTAAACCGTAAACAAATAAATGTGAAATAGAGAAAATATACCATAGAAAAAAAGTATTCATATTTTTGGTGTGTGTAGGTTGCCAGATGGTGAGGTTTTAGCCTGTCCTCATGAACACCGCAGCCCGTCCTCGTGAACACCGCAGCCCGTCCTCATGAACACCGCAGCCCGTCCTCGTGAACACCGCAGCCCGTCCTCGTGAACACCGCAGCCCGTCCTCGTGAACACCGCAGCCCGTCCACGTGAACACCGCAGCCCGTCCTCATGAACACCGCAGCCCGTCCTCGTGAACACCGCAGCCCGTCCTCATGAACACCGCAGCCCGTCCTCGTGAACACCGCAGCCCGTCCTCGTGAACACCGCAGCCCGTCCTCATGAACACCACAGCCCGTCCTCATAAAGCTGCTCATGCACGTAAACAAAGCAGCCTGTACTCACAAACAATGACCAAATGCTAGTTAATCCAGCCGATAAACTCCTTATTTGTGAACGAAAACCACTTTTCATTTTCCTCGTTCGAAACTTTCTCGAAGATTGCTTCACCCACCTGTACTGTTCGAATCACACCTAAATGCTTCAATCATGTGCTGCAAATCAGCCCGTCCTCATAAACAAATACCAAAGTCCATTCCATGCACCCGCCAAACCCCCTGTTTTGAATTAAAAACTGTTTACACACGACTCACAACTGATGACGTTCGAACACTTCTCGAACAAGTGCTTCGCTGACGACTTTTGTATAATTAGCTTCAAAAGATTGTCACTTGCTTAGCTAAACGAACTCTGGTGTTTTGTTCCTGAAACCCTTATGTGCCTCTGCAACCATTTCCACCACAGTCCACGGGATGGGTATGGGGTGCATAATAAAAAAAAATTAAAATTGACGAATTTTGTTGGAACCACATCGCTGTAAATGCTTCACCCACGTACTACAAATACAAAAAATACCCAACAGAGACCTAAACACCTTACCTAACCTACGTCTAACTATTCACAGACTTTTAATATATAACAATATTAATTTATTCGTGAGAACAAAATGAATACAAATAATGTTAAAATTGGTGAATGCATCTTTGAGGGGGTCGGCCGCTGGATGGACGAGCGCCGCCCGACGACGTGTTGTGGGGTCGAGTCTCAAGCTGAAAGAGTTAGTACAGTAATGTTGGGAGTGAAGGGTGCGTCGTGCCTTCCCGGTGATCGCTTCTTACGGTTGAGAGGCGGGCCAAAGAGCCAAAGTGCAACCCCCGCAAGCATAACTCGGTGAGTACACGCCTCCCAGGCAGACCTGGATTCATCAAGCAGCTACGCAAGTAATTGCGAAACCTGTGCATCTGTTCTCAAGTCTTTGGCGGCTTTGTTTACATTTATTAAAGTTTATGAGCTCTGAAGCCACTATAAGAGGTTGAAGCTCTTCGAGGGTAGTGTCGTACTTGCCAATCACATGTCATTTATACCGATAAAATCATTTGGTTGGGAGGTTGGTGATTGTAAACTTTTTAATATATGCAAACACAGCAGCTAAACAGTGAGAACGAGTTTGATGAATCGTGGCCGTAGACGGTAAGAGATATATTCCTGTTGCGTCCCTTATACTTATCGTCCTTATAAGACTATAGCTTCCTAGAGGAAAATATTGGATTTGTATTGGTTGCTTGTTTATTCTTTGGTTGTTTACTACACCTTTACTTTGGTTGATTGCTTACCACATCTTTACTTTGTTTGGTTGCTTGCTTATCCTTTCCTTACTTTTAGTTTACGGTGTATTGAAACTAGTTGTTTGCTTTCAACGGCTTCAAGTTAACAAGGAAACAAAGATCCCGGCGAGTATTTTGCCTTGAGTTTATGTTGTCCTTATTCACGCACACTGCAGCCAAACTTGCGTGCAACAAGAAGTTGAACTAGAGACCTGGGGCCAGATTCACGAAAGCACTTACGCAAACACTTACGAACCTGTACATCTTTTCTCAATCTTTGGTGGCTTTGTTTCCAATTATTAAACAGTTAATGAGCTCCGAAGCACCAGGAGGCTGTTTATAACAATAACAACAGTTGAATGGAAAGTTTTCATGCTTGTAAACTGTTTAATAAATGTAACCAAAGCCGCCAAAGATTGAGGGAAGATGTACACGTTCGTAAGTGCTTGCGTAAGTGCTATCGTGAATCTGGCCCCTGGGTATCCCCCCCCCCCCACATCTCTCTTGTCAAGACTATATATGTTGTACCAAACACTCACACGTCCCATGGGAGAGAAATGACTGACTTCCAAGCGTGTTACACTATGTAATCCTTCATATTCAGTAGAGGGAAGCTGTGTATATATGCCTCATCAAAACCTCCGTGGATCTGCTAGCATAATTATGACATTCTTAACTCGTCCACTCTTTCACTTGCTGGAAAACACAGCTGATGTGTTTTTTTCTTATAGTTCAAACATTTTTGAGTGAGAGGGAAGGGGTATGGGGGTAGCGGGGAATGGGGGTAGCGGGGAATGGGGGGTACATGTGTGTTCTATATCCTGAGGGTTGAGCTGTTCTAACTTCATATCTTGGTTTCCACAGAATCCAATCCCCCCCCCCCTTCCTGAACCGTTTTTCTCGTTTTCAAGTCACCTTCCCCTTTCTTCCCTTCCTATCAAGCTCCCCTTTCCCCTCTACCCCCCCCCCCTCGTTATCAAGCTCCCCCTTCACTCCCTTTTATCTCCTTCCGGTCTTTTCCCGTTTATTCTTAAATCGCTAATTTATTTAATTTCTCATATTTTCCAACTCCTCATCAGCTCTCAGCATCCCCCTCTCCCCATCACCCGTCCCCCTCCACTCCTCTCCCCATCACCCGTTCCCCCCCCCCCTCCTCTCACCGTCACCCGGCCCACCCCCCCCCCTCTCACCGTCACCCGGCCCCCTGTACTAATTTCTTCACTAATTCCTCTCTTTCCCTCTTCACCCTACATCCATTCTTCCCCCCTCCCTCCCTCTCCATTCCCCCACATGGGATCCTCTTCTCAATATGGCCGAGTCTAGTTGAAGACGGGAAGTGACCCAATAGGCGTGATTTGCACTTTAATAAGGACCAATTAATTAGTAGTTAATAGGGAAATTACTGGAAGGATGAGGGAAATTCCCCCTTACTCTGACGAACGCGAAGCAGATAGGCGAGAACTACTGCGTTAGTGGGAGGGAGAGGGGGCGTGTGAGGGAGAGTGAAAGGGAGGGGAAGAGTGAGGGAAGGCCTGGGAGAGGGAAGCGGAGGAAGGAAGACAAAGAAAGGAGAAACGAAGGAAAAAAATAGGATGAGGTATAGTGATGGTGAAATTTACAGGGAGGGAACACAAAAAGGTAGAAACGGAGAGATTAGGAATAGAAGAGACAGAAAAGGGAGGTGGTATAGAGAAGAGGAGAGGTGCTGAGCATAAGGGAAGAGAGAGAGAGAAGTGTATTGCAGTGGGTAACGGAGACGGTAAGTGAAGGGGTAAGGTAGTAATGCAATGAGTAAGGGAAAGGGAGGGGGGGTAAAGGAGTAGGTAAAGGGAGTGGGGATGGGAGGGAGGGTAATAGACGGGGTGAAGGAGATGATAAGGGACTAAGTAATGGGGATTAGGGAAGTGGTAAGAAATTGGGTTAAAGTAAGGGGCGAGGGAATGGGTAAAGGAGGAGT